TTTCCAAAATTCATGTTCATTTCATCAATGACTCTATCTATCTATCTATCTATCTATCTATCTATCTATCTATCTATCTATCTATCTATCTATCTATCTATCTATCTATCACATTCTCTGCCGTCTCCTTCTCCTTTTGCCTTCAATCTTACCAAAACCAGGTTCTTTTCCAATGAGTCCTTGCTTCTCATTAGGTGGCCAAAGTATTTGAGCTTCAGCTTCAGTATCTGTCCTTCCAAAGAACGATCAGGGTTGATTTCCTTCAGGATTGACTGATAATGCTTAGTTAAATAATCCTGATTTTTAGGGCTTTACAGACTAACGTCAGCATCATCACTTAAGCCTCCAGAAAGCACTTTCAGTATTGGTTTTCTGTTTGGTCCTATCTAGATATCCCATTTACCAAAGGAGTAGTTGCATGCTGCACAATATGGAATTTTTCTGTCCTAAAAAGAACATTCCTGTAGACCACGTGACAACAACCCAGTTGTGAGATGATTAGACCCAGGCTATGTGCATGTTCTTTTAGCATAGAGATTTCCAAACTTGACAATTTTAAGACTTGTGCATGGCTGGCTGAGGAATTCTGGAAGTCTTAAAGTTGCCAAGTTTGGAGACTCTTGCTTCAGCAGAAATGACATTTCATTCAGATCAAGCTACTTTCCTTATTCTCAAGCTGAAGAATCATCTGTCCAGAGACCCATGTGTTTCAGGCAGAAAGTACCCAGTTAAGAACATCCAACTTGCAGACAAAATAGAGGGAGGAAGTAGTACTATGTATGTTCACTGCCTTGCTAAGTGGCTAAGACACTGAGCTTGTCAATCAGAAAGGCCAGCAGTTCGGTGGTTCAAATCCCTAGCGCCATGTAACGGAGTGAGCTCCCGTTACTTGTCCCAGCTTTTGCCAATCTAGCAGTTCGAAAGCATGTAAAAATGCAAGTAGAAAAATAGGAACCACCTTTGGTGGGAAGGGAACAGCGTTTCGTGCGCCTTCGGCATTTAGTGATGCCAGCCACTTGACCCCCCCAGAGACGTCTTCGGACAGCGCTGATTCTTCAGCTTTGAAATGGAGATGAGCACCAGCCCCTAGAGTCAGGAATGACTAGCACATATGTGCGAGGGGAACCTTTACCTTTACTAATAAACACAGTCATTATTTATTTAAAGCAATTATTTATAAAGTAACAAACACAGGATAAATATACTTGGTACTTAATGAATGGACTGCCTATTCCACTAAAAAGGTGGAAGGTGTTCTCCTTCCTCAAGATGATAAACCATTGAAGCTGTGCAGTGTTTTCATGAAGTATCGGAGCCATGCATTTTTAATACACAGCTTGTCAGCTCAAGGGAGGGAAACGCTTTCCATCATTTCTAGTAACAGTGCATTCATAAATACCACTTACATACAAATTCAAAAAAGATTTAGGGATCGAACTTGTTCTTAAACTAGAAACAGTCTGTACTGAGATTCAGCTTTATTTTTTTTATGGCCCACTAACGGAACTGGCAGCAGATTCGGACAGTGAGGAGTTTGGGGCGGAACATAGGCCAGTCCTGGAGTCTGGGGAAGGCTCTGTTGAGGGCTCTGCGTCGGAGGCAGGGAAGGGGCCAGAGGCAAAAGCCAGTTACAGCTGCCTTCTGAGTCTGGAGCCTGTTCCCAGTGTGTGCATGTACAGAGTTGCCAGATGAAGGGAACAGCTAAAGAACAGGGGTCGACTTGGGAGTAAGGCCACAGATGGACAATGAATGGGCCCTCCCAGAGGAAATAAAAGAGAAGCAAAGGGGGAGTGGAGTTTGCAGGAGACAATTAGTTTGGTTAATTGGTTCGTAAGTCTCCGAGACTCTTTGCCAACTTTTACAGATATCGGCCTGTCAGCTTTCCAAGCCAGATAAGGTCTGTGTTTGTAAATCCACTTTGCTGGATGTGAATGAGCAGAATTCACAGTAAATTAATAAAAGGTTTTTTTGTCAGGACAAGAAGTTTGCTTCATGCACTTGGAAATCCTAGATCAGGACAATTCTATTAGCCTTCATTCACTTCAGGCAATTGTCAAACACCAGGTTAGCTGTTCCTGTTTGAGGGGAAAGTATGTGGAGGAAGTTAATTACCATCTGCACATGGATGACATCATACTTCACATATCTTGATGACCATCCCTGGTTGGTTATTGCAGAGGAACAAATTGGAACTAAAGCAGGGATGTCAAACTCGCAATGACATGTCATCATCACATGATGTATGACAACTTTTTTCCCCTTCACTAAAATTGGGGGTGGGGGAGCGCATGATGCATCTGGCCCACAGGCCGTGAGTTTGACACGCCTGAACTAGAGGATCCCATAGTGCAACGGCTATGAAGATGCAATAACTTTCCCCCACCACTGTAACTTAAAAATTCCAGCTCCTCACTCATGGAGCTACTCCACTGATAACTCCATGATCAGTAATGTTAAAAACATCCACACGAATCTGCATAGGAGCCCCTTCTGAGGATCATTACTCATAGCAACCAAACTGTTTTAGTGGCTCTGAAACCAAACTATGAAAGGCATCACTTGGGTGGACCAATCTATGTTTGGCGCTCTCTTGTTCAGGAACCTGTGGCTCTTGGTGTATCCATAAACACAACAGCTTCAACTAAATTATGATACATAACTTGAGAATACAATGAGGATGATTTTATCTTCAAATTCCTTTAAATCTTACTGTAATTGAACGACGGTATCGGTGCTGGTGGTAATCTCTTTTTCAGCAGAAAAGTGTAGGAGTTAAGAAGAACCCGTGTAGGGGTTCTGGGAAGTCAGGGGGGGGAGGAGGAGGGGGGTTGGGGGGGGGGGGGAGGGAGGGAGGGGTATACATTAGGCTAGACAAGAATTTGGTGGTAAACTAGAACTATTTTGACTGATATACAAGAAATTGTACTTCGATGTTTTACTGATTGAGGAATGATGAAATGTTTGCCTTAAAAGAAATAAAACTTTTGAAACGGAAAAAAAAAAAAGAAGAAGAACACAAAAGGGAGTTCCCAGGAGTTGAATTGGAAGGTGGTAAGCTGTATTTTAGAATTAGGTGGAAATGTTTTAAGAATTTAACTCACAATATGAAGAAGTGAAAAGAAGTGGGAAAGTTTGGTCTAGGATTATAAAGGAGAACAAGAAAGAAGCAAGAAGTAGCTATGTAAATCTCGTCAGTTTGGCAAGTTTGATCTCCCTTAATGAGATTCGCATAGCTACTGCTTTTTTATTTCGTATTTTCCAGTGCATTATAAAAGACTTAAGCGGAAATAGGTTTGGATAATTTATTTTTGTTAATGTTTTTAGTTCTTATAACTAAAAGAAATAACAAGAGTTTCTGACAGTTATCAGTCTGTAGAAAAAAATTAATGAATATCTTTATTAAACATGGTAAATCCAGGTTTTTCCTCAAGATAAATCTGCTACCCTGACAAATGGAGAATTTGCTCACATTTTTCTTTTCCATCTCTGGCTATTTCATGAGAGCTAGCTTTTCTTTCTCAGCCACAAACAGCCATTCTGTTTGTTTAGAGAGAGAGAAAAAGAAAGTTTCAAATTTACCAGGACGTTTTGTAAAGCATCTAAATTATATGTGCTTATGTCAATTTGAATAATTATAGAAGCCACCATTAGGACAAGAAGAATGAACACTTTGAGGCAGTTTGAATCTCCCTGACCAAAATGTAGACATGTCCAAAAAAAAGGGTTGAAAAGCATGTTGTTCTGGGGAATGTTTGGCTTTTTCTTTTCACTTGATGGCAATAAATACTTATTAAGTTTCTGAACATGGAACCAGAAACAGTTCCAGAACAGGCAATGGCTTGATTTATCCCCTCCTCTGTTATTTTCTCTTCATTTTCAGGCAAAAAAATATGTACTACTACTATTTCTTCTTCTTCCTCCTCCTCCTCCTCCTCCTCCTCCTTCCTCTCCTTCTTCTTCCTCTCTTTCTCCTCTTCCTGCTCCTCCTCCTCCTCCCGCCCCCCCCACCTCTCACACACATTCACATCAGAATTCAGAAATGCAGTGCGCCACAGAATTTACTTTGGTATGTCAGTTAAAATTGGGCATGGGCCCTATCCTCAAGGTTATCAGCCAAACATTTACATGCACAAAAGAAAGGGGAGGGAGATCAGTTTTCATATTGCCAAAACAAACGGGTAAGTTCTTCACAGAACATTCTATCCCAATAAGGCCAGGCTGAATTTTTTTAAAAGATTTTCCTCTTCAGACGTAGTTGTTGAGGCAATTGGTGCCTTTTAGTCCTTTCTCCAGTAGTATATCAGTGGTACTTTTCCCTTGGAACAGAAAGTTTTACTCTTGGATTCTGAAAGCAGGCTCCCTTTGTGGCCAGCCTCTAGGTTGGTTTTATATTTGCTGTACCAATTTACTGGGAAGAAGGAGTCCCAATTTTCATTCTTCATCCTGCAAGCTACATCCAAACTGAGCTGAGGAAATTATCCCTAAACTTCTAACCTGGTTGAACCTACATTTTGAATTAAATTTCAGTTCCTGGTTTAGAGGAACCTTTTGCTTATCCAAGCAAGAAAAAGGAACATACATACATACATACATACATACATACATACATACATACATACATACGAAACATTGATCTATTAGAGTAACACTAGTGTGTGTAGAGGATGGATGGATGGATGGATGGTAGGAGAGGGAGAGAGCAGTGTTTCTCAAATTTAGCAACTTTAAGATACGTGGACTTCAACTCCCAGAATTCCATGCTGGCTTGGAATTTTGGGAGATAAAATCCATGCATCTTATAAGTTGCCATGGTTGAGAAACATTAATACAACAGAAGGAATCATCTGGCAATTCTCTGAATTTAAGGGGTGTTTCTGTTTTTTCCAAGCTGGTGTTTAACAGCCAGGATTGTGGCTCCTGAATTAATCTTAACATTTCAACTAATTGTTTTGGGTGGATTGTCCATTCATTCAACCTCTTTGTCACTGTTTTTTTTCTAGATTTGCTTCTTGAAGAACTTCCTCCAGCATGTGTCTATAAATAAATCATATTACATGCGCAGTTCATTAAGCCAAATAAAGTATTTTTTTTCTCATTTAAAACTCTGCTATTCATGCACACAGTGACCCAAAACAAATTTGATAGGTTATGACTGAAGACAGATAAGTTCATTGAAATACGTTCTAAGCCTATAATCAAAAACGTATTGTATTGTGCTAATACTATACACGCGCACATAACACATACACACATTTTATTTTTTTAGATATACTTAGGACATGTTAGTGCCTCTGAAGTTGCATGACAGTGTGAGGGCATAAAGCTGTTTTCAAATACTAAATACCTGACGTGTGAGCATACATTTCCTAGTCAATAAGGGATCTATTGTCAATGTGCAAAGATTCCATACGCTTAGAAGAGTGTAGTTAACCTTTTTCTAGTACTACACTTGAAAAGAGTTCTAGATCAGGGAAGAGGGAAATCTGCTGTGTACACTTCTAATCAAGCAGAGACTAATATTTAGGAACATAAGTTCTGCATCAGTGTGTATCCACATATACATTGGTGTGTTTGGGTTACATACTCTCTCCCTTGATGGAGAAATCCAAGGCAGATCTAGAAGTAGCTGGAGACCCTGAAGGTGAATCCCATCAGGATCTTTTGTCTGATGAACCAGATGCCCGCCCTACCTGGGGATCAAAGGCTCAATATATCCTCGCCCAGGTTGGCTTTTCTGTTGGACTCGGCAATGTCTGGCGTTTCCCCTACTTGTGTCATCAAAATGGTGGAGGTAAGCAGTTTGCCAAATTTGGGACTTGGGACTTCTATTGCAAGATTCTCTCCCTTATTTCTAAGAAATTATGATTTCTCAGAAATGACTCTGAAATAGCAGCTTATAAAGCTCTGTTATAATTTCGGTATCTTCATCTTTTTACTATTCTATATGTATGTAATATCTAAAATTTAGATACTAGGTTTCCCTGTAAATGGAAAAGGAATGATTTTCTGAGTTAAAGTACAAATAGCAACTAGGCCACGTTAGCAGTTTGGCCAAAAGCAGGCAGATAACTGAAATGGTAGATCTGTTACAGAATACATTATCTACCAATTTAAATACTTATTTTCATGGTGTGAGAATTGGAGACTCTAGAGCAGTGTTTCTCAACCTTGGCAACTTGAAGATGTCTGGACTTCAACTCCCAGAATTCCCCAGCCAGCGAATGCATTCGCTGGCTGGGG